CCCCAGTCCTTCATGTCCACTGCTGCTTGAAGAAGAGTGCGGAGCGTGCGGATGAGGAACTGGCAAGCTTGGTTGCTGAACCGCGACATCTACAAGGCTAGAAAAAGCTTCCAGACCAGCTGGCGGAGGCTGATAGTGAATCTGCTTCTGCGGATTGTGTCGCTGGATTACACCTTGACGAGGTTGAGTGTGTGACTGAGGAGGTGGTGGAGTGCTGGTGTAGTAAAGCCCAGATGAAGGAGGTGGTTCACTTTTTCCAGGAGTCTCGCTGCTGCTGGTCCGACCTCGCTGGTGCATTTGCTGGCTGGTGATGTAGTCGTTCATTATTATCTGTCGGGAAGACAACTGCGGCTCCATGGTGTAACTAGGAAGCGGTCTTGGAGGGTAAGAGTTGTACTGGTTGCTGTGAGTTACAACGACACCCTGAGTCTGACATGGAACGTTGGTTGTGGCTGGAGAATGACGAACTGGTCGGTGATAGTCATACATTGGATTACGCTTGTCCAGAGAAACTGTGAACGGGTGGACAGGAGTTCCCTGGGTTATAGAGCCAGACTCTTTTGGTGCGGAGTTTCCTCCGGAGGATCCGGATGACCCGGAGTTTCCTGGAGGAGTCATTTGGCGGAGCAGACCTTCGTATCGAGCGCTGGGAACGGGAGTTCCATGGGTGATTGAGCCGCCCTTGTGAGCTGGACCGATGGTGCTTAATTTGGGAGATAGTTTCGGGTGAGGAGGCGTCGCGGGGACTTTGTTCATCTTCGGGGTGATTGGAGCCTGCGGCCGGGGAGATGATGCGTAGATTAGGGGGCTCTTGGCCCCACGGCCTTGCTCTGAGTGGGGGTGGTGGTAGTAACCTGGAGAAGGTTCAGGGCGGTATAAGGATACTGGGGGCTTGTGAGCCGGGTGAGTGTGGTTGTAGTCTTGAGGGGGTGGTGGCTGCTGACGCGGCTTTTTTATACTCAAGTCTAGGGTGCCTTCAGTTTCTCGTAAAGCTTGCTGGACTTGCATTACTACTAGACCTTCCTTGGGAAGCATGTCTGATGATTGAGGTTGCGAGCTCTGGACTGGTGGTGGGCAAGGGGTTATTGTTGCTTGCATTTGACCTGGATTTGAAAAAAAATAAATTAGTGTTTTGGGGACGATAGATTATTAAAAGGATCGTTCTGGTTTGTAACTTGAAAAAAAATTTTTTTTGTACAATTTTTGGAGGTACATTTATTTAATTTTGTTAAAATGCCATGGCATGAACTATAAATAAACAAAAATTTCGCTTCACTAAATAATGACTTTTGTTAAATTACACTATAATTTTTTAAATATTGACGTTTTTAAAGATATAAGCTCATCCTGATGTTACACTCATCAAGAGCTTTTATTTGAGTACCCACATGCATTATCATATATTTTTCATATTATTCATATACAATATATATAAATATATACATACAATGTATATAATATATATAAATATATAAAAAATTGATGTGGGTACTCAAATGAAAAGTCTCGATGAGTATAACATCGGGATGAGCTTATATCTTTAAAAATGTCAATAATTAAGAAATTATACTGTATTTTGTCAACTTATGATATTTTTAAAGATATAAGCTCATTATGATGTTACACTCATCAAAAGCTTTCATTTGAGTACCAACATGCATTTTTGATATATTTTTCATATATACATATATATCATATTTATAAATATATGAAGTATATGATATATGAGATATATGAAATATATGAAAAATTGATGTGGGTACTCAAATGAAAGGTCTTGATGGATATAACATCAGAATGAGCTTATATCTTTAAAAATGTCAATAATTAAGAAATTACATTGTATCTTCTAAACTAATGATATTTCTAACAATATAAGCTCATCTAGATATTATACTTATCAAAAGCTCTCGTTTGAGTACCAACATGCATTTTTGATATATTTTTCATATATACATATATATGATATTTATAAATATATCAAATATATGAAAAATCGATGTGGGTATTCAAATGAAAGGTCTTGATGGGTGTAACATCGAGATGAGCTTATATCTTTAAAAATGTCAATAGTTCACAAGATACAAGGTAATTTCTTAATTTAACCATATAAATACACTAGCCATAAAATTTTGCTTATTCTCTTAATAATATAGATTTGCTTTTTTTGAGCATGTTTGGAGCATTGGAGCCAGAATGATCCTTAAAGATTAAAATATTTAAAAAAAGTTTTACCAATTTGTTGAGGGCTTGGAGCCGAACGATGGCAGGAAACAACAGAAAGAGTCGCTAAATTAGAATCTCTATTGGAAATGGCAGTAGAGGGCATGCTGGAGGCAGGTTTGAACTCGCGAACAAAAGTAATGTCATTCCTATGATCAGCCTTGAGGATGTTTGACATCGACGAAGAACCAGAGCTAGATGTCGAACCTGGAGGACCAGCTGGACTGACGTTATTACGTTTAAGCTGCATCTCTATCACTCCAAGCATTAAATCTTTTACAGTAAGAGGATTTGTACTGCTGGCTGTTGTCGGTGGTGAGTGGCCAGGCGGCGGGGGTGGTGGTGGAGGCTGAGGCTGTTGAGTCTGTTGGGGCTGCTGGGATTGTATCAGCGTATTGGTGTTGGCCGTTGAAGACTGCGTCACTGTCACACCACCCGTACTTTCAAGCTCAGTGTTACCTTGACCTTCGTCCGCCGTCTCCTGAAACAAGTTTGGTATCTCTATCAGACCCATCCGAGAGTATCAACGCGGAAAAAATAATATATGGAAAAGAAAGTGTTAACTCACCGTAGCAGAACTGTCATAGTCCTCGCGGCTGTTTACTGCTGGCTGACCTGGTCCGCCTCCAGTCGTTGGTTGCTGCGAAGACGAAGCTGCTGCTACTGGTGGGACTAGCGAAATTCTAATGTCTGCTGTATTCTCCGGGAACATCATTTTTTGTTTTGTCGAACTCGATGATGCCACTAATGTCGGAGCCGTACTGCTGGAAATTATGTTCGCAGGACTACCTGCGCTTGCAGTATCACTAGAATCATGCACCTGAAAAAAAAAATTGTTATTTAGTTCAATGTGTGCATAGAAAAAAAAATTTAATTGAGTTAATAATTTTGGAGAACTTTTTTTTCTTAATTTAAATAGACAAATTATTAAATTAAAAAAATTATTAAAAGATTAAAATTATTAAATTAAAAAATTAAAATTATTAAAAAATTAAAATGATTAAAAATTTTTTTTTTGTTCAAATAAATTTTACTTGATTCAAAAATTTTTTATCCCAATTTTAAGACAGTAAAATTCTTCAAAATTATTTTTTTGATTTAAGAATTTTTTTCTTGATTCAAGTTAAATTTTTTTCAGTTTGAAAACGTTTTATTTCATTGATTTTTGGGTAATTTTTTTAAATAAGAAGCTTTATTGTTTTTCAACCATAAAAAATTGAAATATATACTTATTAAAGTGTTTTTTTTTTTATTCTTAGTTATGGCGGATTTAAAAAAGTTATTTAGAAAATTTTGAAAAAAATTAATTTTTTAATTAGAAAGTCAAAAAAATGCAGATTTAATTTATTTTAAATTGAAATTTTTTGAAAATCAATTTTTAGAGTATTGAAATTATTTATTTTTTTAAATGTGAAATATTTGAGACAAAAAAATGTCATGATTTAAATATTTTAAAAAAATTGTGAACATTAACCTTTAATTAATTAACAATTTAAAAGTATTGCAATAATTAAAGAATTTTTTTTATATTGTGCTTCAAAAATAAAATAATTTGAACAAAAAAAAGGCATTAGTTTTTATATTAATTTAATTAATTAAGTACTGTTAAGTTTGATATTATCAATTCTATAAAATTATGAAAGTTACAAAATTTTAATACTGACAATTGTTTTTTCTTATTCTAATTTTTATACATTTGAATCATGAATCAAACATTAAAAAATATTCAAAATTTATAAAAATATTTAACTTATAATATCATGACACTTTTTTTTAATTTATTCATTTTTTTTTGATAATTAAAAATAAAAATTTAGATGATATTCGATAAATTTATCTTTCAAAAATAATTAGTAAAAAATCTGATATTTTTTCTTTATATTTTTAAACTTTAATAAAAAAAATATAAATCTGGAATTTTATAAATTTTTTTAAATTTGCCATAAAAAAAATTGAATAAAAAAAAAAGTGTCTTTAATTTTTAAATGTTCTTTAAGTTTCTTATAAAAAAAAAAATGATTAATAATTATTAAGTATTAATAAAATAGATAAAAAAAATAAAAATAAAAAACTTACAGCCAATTCATCGCAGCTACTTGTACTACTACCGCTTTCTTCTTCATCCGTTAAAAAAGGCCTCCTAAAATCTTCTCCCCTAGCCTCATAGTACTCCGTGACAATTTGATCAAGCCCCAGCTTCTTGCGATACGTGAGATAGTAAGTCTTACACTGATGATTTGACTTGCCAGGAATCATCTCAGCAACTTTCTGCCAATTCGTCGCGTGTTCTTTAAGCGCGCGTTTCAGCAGCTTAAGTTCTTCCTCAGTCCATTGCTGCCGAGTTGAGGATTCCGAGCTGTCCTCAGAGGCGTCTGCTCCAGCGGTCAAATGAGGCGCCAGTCGACGAGATATCCTGTTAAAGCACGCCGAACAGCACTTGGTAGCGTTGTTCGGAATCTGGAACTCCTGGACAACAGGCTCCCAGACTTCTGCGGGCAGTTCCATCCACTTGGACGGCAAAGCACGCAGTCGCTTCACTCGCGTTTTCGCGCTCGAGTTATTGACATTCGGACACCCTGGAAGCGGACAAGCAGTGTACCGACCTCTCACGGCTTTACATCTGCAGGTATTGCAAACTCGAGATCCTGGCTGGATTTGATCTTCACGCAATCCGTATTGGGACGCATGACTTCGAGATAATGCGCGACTTTGATTTCCTCCTTCTACCATGGATTTACATATCACACATGTATGTGGACCTAATTGTCTTCCACCTTCTGTAAATAAAAATTTATAATTATTATTACAATTTCACAATTTTTTTAAAAAATTTTACACTCAAATTTTTATCAATGATTATGAAGAATTTTCAGAAAATTCTATTATTATTATTATTATTACTAACAACTTTGCAGTCACTACGTGACTGCTGTAATTTTTAAATTATAAATGAATAAAATTTAGCTTTATAAAATAATTTTGTTAAATTACACTGTATTTTCTTAACTATTGACATTTATAAAAATATAAGCTTATCCTGATGTTACACTCATCAAGAGTTTTCATTAGAGTACCCACATCAATTTTTGATATATTTTTCATATATACATATATATGATATATATAAATATATGAAATATATAAAAAATGGATGTGGGTACTCAAATGAAAGATTTCAAAAAGTGCAATCTCAGGATGAGCTTATATCTTTAAAAATGTCAATCGTGAACAAGATACAAGGTAATTTCTTAAATATTGATATTTTTAAAGATATGAGCTCATCCCGATGTTACACTCATCAAGAGCTTTCATTTGAGTACCCAGATGCATTTTTGATACATTTTTCATATATACATATATATAATATACATAAATATATAAAATATATGAAAAATTGATGTGGGTACTCAAATGAAAGGTCTCGATGAGTGGAATATCGGGGTGAGCTTATATCTTTAAAAATAACATTAGTTGATAAGATAGCAATGTCAGTTTTTAATTGTTGACATTTTTAAAAATGTAAGCTCATCCTGATATTACACTCATCAAGAGCTTTCATTTGAGTACCCACATGCATTTTTGATATATTTGTCATATATACATATATATATATAATATACATAAATATATAAAATATATGAAAAATTGACGTGGGTACTCAAATGAACGGTCTCGATGAGTGTTACATCGGGATGAGCTTATATCTTTAAAAATGTCAATAGTTCACAAGATACAAGATCATTTCTTATTTGTGTATCTAGGAGATATACTAAATACTTATCATAACAAATTAACTATCGGTGAAAATAATATGAAACTTTGAAAAGGCACAAATTCAAGTTAAAATCTTTTTACCCGAGATCTATGATAGATATTATTATCATTAATTAAAATTCAATAAAAAAATAATTAAACATCTGTTTTGAATATCAGTATAGTGGAAAAATTTTATTTAGCACATAAAAACAATCTTAATTAAAATTTTAATGTGAAATTTATAATTAATATCGTCATCAGTAGCTAAAAAATTAAGTAAACATATTTTGTATTGATTTTAAGTGACAATGTAGTGAAAAAATGTTATTGTACGCATAAAAGTACTCTTAATTTAAATTTCAACTTTAGTTCATCAATTCTATACGAAAAATACAACAAACTATTATTATAATTGCAAGTATGAATAAATTTAAATTGCATTTAAAAAAATTAACAATTAAAATAAAATTTACTAAGTATAAAATTTACAACTCTGTTATGTCGTAAATAATAGAGGCTCTCAATATTCATAAAAATAATTATTGCGAGGGCAGTTATTTTTATTGCAATGCTCACAAAAATTTGCATAGCAATAATAGTAAATGTTTATTATCAGTTTTTAAAATCGGATTTAATAAACATGCAAAGTAAAATATACTGTGACTTTAACAGTTTTTTTTAATACTATATGAATTTTTTTCCAAGTACTTATATTCATTGGAAAAAGTGGGATTATTATTGTCACGCGAGTATATTTGCACTAACATAATGATAACAATCAGTCTTTAAAAATAAAATTGTAACAAGACAGTCTCACACTATTTATTAAGCAATTTTATACTATTATTATTATTATCAAAAAAAAATATTTTATTTTATTTCAAGTAAACATCCTTGAAAGATTGGCCAATTTTACTTTATATTTGTATTTAAAAATAATTTAAAAAATGTTTAATTATTAATACTGATAATTAATAAACGGAGAATTGAGATAGAGGAAGCGAAAAAAAATAAATTAAACAAAACCAATAAAGCAAACTCTAAGTTGAGAGTATGTTTAAACTAAAACTAAAAATGAAGGAGTTGCAGACGGAGAAACAGAATAATTAGCGAGATACCACTAGTTAACTAATTAAGTATACCCAATTAAAAAGTTCTCGCTTACTCGCTTGACAAGAAACGGGATTATGCTTACGAAGAAAGGAAAAAAATTTTTTACAGAGCCTGGTAATTTTTTCACCTGAGCTCTGATTAAATATTAATATATTTATATATAGCTGTAAATATTTAATAGTGCAGAGGCTTTTAGTCCTATTAAATAATTATGTTACGCGTATAACAGTGATTGAATAAATAGAAGGGTAAAAAAATTTATTCACGTGAGAGTTGGCGGGATTCACTGGTGGGTGCCTCGGTGTCATACCAATCGCAAGAGACAAGTTAATTGACAAGTTCGATTGATTCCGAGGTTATTTGCCTGCCAAATTTTTTGTCAGACTCTGACTTTTTTAATAAAAAATTATTAGTGTATTTTTTACTTAAAATAGTTGAAATTTTTTGATATTCAGGCTAAAATATAGGTAAAAAAAAATTTAATTTATACAAAAAAAAAAATCAATATTTTCGCTGAATTTCTAAAAGTAAGATTTGTAATTATGAAAAAATTTGAATCATTATGAATATTAATTTTGGAATTACAGGAAATATTTGTTTCAAAAAAACAGTAACATTTTTTTTTTTAAATTAAATTTTGAACAACTTTTGTTTGATAAAACTTTTTATAGGACCAATATGTTCGTTGTAATATTAAACATTTGAATAATTTATTTTAAAATTGCGGCACAAATTTTGGCCTTAGTTATTTATCACACTATACATAGTTTGGGTACTTTTTAAATAAATTTTAAAAATAATAGTGCTATCACAGGATCAATTACAAATAATTTAATGGACAAATCTGACGGAACAAATTTATAGAACCAACAAACTATTAAAAACTCCTCCAAAAACTTGACATAAAAAATTGACTACTAAAAAATATATAAAACCAAAAGGCACTAATTCTTATCAAGACCTTTCTGATGATACCAAATTAAACTATAAAAATTCCTTTAAAAATAATAAGATGCTCGTCACAAAATTTTCCTTACTCTCTCAATTATTTAAATCATAAATGACTATCGCTGAAAAAATATCAAACCCAATTTGCGATAAAGATATAGATGTTGCAAAATTTTTCTTAGTCTCTTAATTATATAAATAAATTTTTGACATTTGACACAACCACATTGACATGTACAAAACAAAATAAATAAATAAACAAATTTTGTTTATCGCGAAATTCTAATCTATTTATAACTACTTCGAAAACTTATCATAATAAATTAACTATTGCTGAAAAACATATGAAACATTAAAAAGGCACAAATTCCGGTCTAGACCTTTCCAATGATACTAAATTTAATTTAAAAAATTCATTTTATCATATAAATACGCCGGAGACAATATTTTCCTTAAATTTTTTTTATAGGATTAATATTTTTGTCGCAATATTAAAAATTTCAATTATTTATTTCAAAATTGAGGCATAAATTTTAATTATCATTTTCTTTAATTAAATTAAAATTTTAAAAAATTGCACTCATAATTTTTCAAATATTCCACATAAAAAATTTTTCTAAAAACTTTCTAAAAATTTTCAAATGTCTGCTAAATTAATTTTCATAATTTTACATCTATTTAGTAAATTTTTTCACTCATTAATTAATATAAATTTTTTTTTTAGATCTAAATAAATTTTACAAATTTACCTTGAAGATTTAATTAAATAAAAAAAAAAAATTAAGCAACAATTAAAATTTAAAACATACTTATCAATGAGGTTGGACTAAACTATGATTAAACGGAACAAAAGATAAAAAAAAAAAACGAAAGAAAATAATGGAGTACGTAAATGGATGAAATGCACTGGGAGATCCTGGTAATTAAGCAAGCACCGTTGAGTGCGGAAAGTAAAAAGGGGCTGAAGAATCACTTTAAATGTTTTATCAAACAGGAATGAGCTAATGAATAAAAATGAACTTTACTATTGTGGTTTTTAATTTTTATAATTAACAATTATTTATAACTTTCAGGCTGAGTGTACGAAGCTTAAGCGGGTGTAATAAGAAGAAGAAGATATGAAGAGTGTGTGGATTTAAGCTTTGGAAATTATTGTAATTACTGATGACGAGCAAGTGCGGATTAACAGAAGTCGGTAATAAACGATTCAGAAGGAATATAAAATTGACTGATAAAATATTCTCTTTGATTTAACTCGTGAAGATATTAAACAAGAGAATGAGGAGGTTTACGCTCGGCTTCAATCGGACATAATGTACAGCTCTGTTACAAATAATAAGTAATATAAGGTACATATAATTCAACGACACGTTTTTAAGCGAATTGATCGTAATTTATGTAGTGGAATAATTTTTCAGTGGGAAGAAAAAAAAATAAAAAATATTTTAGCCAATTATTAGCCGTAAGATAATTGAGTTATTAAATAATTTACTTTGAGAGGTTTTTGCGTATTTATATATTTATATATTTATGAAATTTACGCACCGTCAATGCAGGAAAAATGATTAAAAGCAAACAACTCTCTCACTGTCTTTATCCAACGCTTTGTTTTTTTTGAATCTCTCTTTTATCGCGAGTTTATACCTACCGGGCCTTTTTATAATAACAACGTGTTGATACTCTTGTCTCATGGTATGTTAATGATCTTGTTATGTAATTATAATTTGTTTTATTTATTTTTATCTAAGTATATATTAGGAAAAAATTTTATAATAACATTTATGTAATTTGGAAATTTGAATTGTAATTTATATTTTATATCTATTTCATATAAAAGAATAATATTTATGACTGATATGTTTTGACAATTTGTAATTGTGACGGAAAAAATTATTAATGTATTGTATGTTTTTGTAGATTGCCTGAAGAAGTCGAGATTTTCGACGAAACGTTGCAATAA